ACGATGTCTAGGTCGTACTTCTGGAGCCGAATGAGCATTCGTTGTAAGCGGCGTGGGACGACGTGCAGTGGTTTATTGGCTATTGATACCAGAGGCTTGTGATCGGTAAATACAGTGGTCCGGCGACCAAAAGTGTAATCGTTGAAACGCTCTACGGCATAAACCAATGCTAGCATCTCCTTTTCAATCTGTGCATAACGGCGCTCGGATTCCGTTAGTGTCCGACTGCGAAAATCGATGGGCTTCCCGTTCTGCATTAGCACGGCACCGATACCGAATTGGCTGCTGTCACACTGGATCTCAAGGGGAAGTGACGGATCGTAATACGCTAGGACAGGGGCGCACGCGATCAGTTGTTTGATGTTCTGGAAAGCCTCCTCCTGTTCTGTGTTCCACTGCCAGCTCTCGCCCTTATGTGTAAGTTTTCGGATAGGAACCATTACTTCGGCTAGTCGTGGAAGGAAGCGGCTGAGGTAATTCACCATCCCGTTTAGTCTGCTCACGGCTTTAACATCTGTCGGAGGTGGCATCTCTTTTATGGCTCTAACTTTCTCCGGATCTGGCTTTAGACCTTCTGCGCTCAAAACATGTCCGTGGAACACCAGCTCTGTTTTTCGTAACTCAATTTTCTCACGTTTCAATCTGATATTCTTGTCTTTACAGCGTTCTAGAAATCTGCTCAGGTTACGGTCGTGCTCTTCCAGAGTCGCCCCAAAAACCACTACATCGTCTGCTACACAAATAGCTCCGGGTAGATCGTCTAGGGCCTGCATTAATCGTTTCTGAAAAATTTCACTGGACACTTTCAAACCGAATGGTAAGCGCAACCACCGAAACCGTCCAAATGGCGTTCCGAACGTGGTTAAATAACTGGACTCTTCGTCAAGCTGGACGTGCCAGAAAGCGGAAGCGAGGTCGACCTTCGTGAACAATCTGGCCTTGGACAACTCGGGTAAGACGTCATCTAGCGTTGGTAGTGTAAAATACTCTCTCCTGAGTGCGGCGTTGAGCGGCTTAGGGTCGATGCACACACGCAAATCGCCTGACTTCTTGGTGATTATCGCGACTTGACTGACCCAATCGGTTGGCTCATCGACCTTGGCAATCACACCTAAACTGATCAAACGCTGCAACTCGTCTAAGAACTTCTCACGCAAAGCGATAGGTACTTTTCTCGCTGGTAGTGCTACTGGTCTAGCGGACTCGTTTAACGACAGGTGAGCTACGCCTTGGAATTTTCCCACGGTACCATCAAACACACTGGGATAGTTGTCTACGATCTCTGTACCGACTTCGCACGAGTGAACAAAACGATCATGATTAAAAGAAACAAAACCCAAACTCTGAATGGAATCAAGGCCCAGGATGGGCATTAAATCTCCTGATACCAGGAGAAAATCAAGTAAATGCTCGGAGCCATCCTTCGGGTTTATGGCCTTCATGGTAACGCAGCCCTTCGGTTGTAACTTTGATCCGTTCCACATTCTGAGCTGTGTCTGTATTTGGCGGTATTCTGCATCGGGACAGTATTTGTGAGGAAGTATGTTCACGCTTGCTCCTGAATCCAATTGGAATCGCACCGGACGCCCTTGAATAAGCAACGTTGCGAATACACAGACTGGTCTCTCACGTCCTGTCATGTTGTTAATAGCCAGTTCCTGCGGCTCTTCCTGATCGTCCTGCCCGACTGAGTCGACTTTGGTTGCCTGACAACAACGTGCAAAGTGGTTCTTCTTCGCACACTTCATACAGGTTCGGCCCCATGCTGGACAATCCTCTTTGCGCCTTGGGTGTGAGCGGCCGCAAAACTGGCATTTGGGTTGATTCGCGCTCGATGACTTCGATACAATTTCTCGGCCTCGGGATACTGCAAACAGATCCGTCGTGGACTCCATCTTGAGCTGCTGAAACTGTTGAGCCGTCCTTGATTCGCTAAAACAGATATCGATGCAATGTTCCAAAGACAGGTTTCGCTGTCGCAAAAGGCGTCTGGAAAGTTCCTCATTCTTTATGCCAATTATAATTCGATCGCGGATCAGCGAATCTCGTAAACAGGTGCAAAAATTGCAATCCCGCGCCAGAATTTTCAGCTCCGTGATGTATGCGTCGATTGATTCACCCGGCAGGCGATTTCGGCTGAAAAACAGATACCTTTGGTAAGTTTCGTTTGTGTAACCTTCGCAAAACTCGCCGAATCTGCGTATTACTTCATCCAGCTCCATCTCCTGAGTTCCATCGCTGAGATCCAACGTTTGCAGCGTCCGCCTGGCTTCGTCTCCAATGGCATGCCTGAACATCGCCAGTTGATAGGCCATTGGCTGAGAATCCAACTGAGTCAGTGTTACAAAGTCTAGCCACTTCGCCTTCCATATTCTCCAATTCTCCGGCAACGAACTCTCGGTCATTTGCAACGGAGCTGGCAGCGGAATCGTTGGTTGTCCACCAAACGCATGCGGGGTTCGGCGTGTCTTCTTGTCCTCTGTCGCCATGTAAAACGTGCGGCCCTCCGGCAGAAAGAACAACAGGTGGCGGCGACACGAAAATCTTTATTGGCGAGAATTGCTTTCTTTTTATATCAGATATGACCATTTTCTGCGCCCGTTTCTATTCGGCTACTACACTTTCATGCATTTGTCTCCATTTGCCAGTGTCCTTTGATCCTGGGCGTTTCGCCTCCAATCGTTCGGTCGTAATTCGTCCATGGCATTTGCTACAATTGGTTCCCCATGCTGTGTCTTGACGATCAAAAACCAATCGGCCGATGGGTTTCGGTTCAGTGCCTGCTCTTTCTGGCCTATGGACGGTCGTTCGCGTACCGGATTGACGTGACGCTGATTGGTCAGGCGTCTGATGCAAGTCCTCGATCCCCTTAACGTCGCTTACTCGTTTGCGAGCCGTCTCGGGTTTTGATTGGATATTCGGACCACGCTTGTTTGCCAGACGCTTTGCCGAGCCGTTGGTCTGTTCGTCCGATCGGTAGCTTGTGTGCGCCACTGGTTGGCGGTGCCGCGAACTGATTGCGATCTCCGATTGTGTTGCCGATTGGTGGAAACCAGTTCGCGCTGTTGGCTGGCGGTTTGGCACGTAAGCTACCATCACGG